GCACTGTCACTGCTCACTGATGGGTCCATAAAACTCAGGGCAGCTTAAGTATGCAGTGAGGCTGGATGCTCAGCTGGCTTCCTGAAGACCTCCTCCACTTGTGGGTCAGTGTGTCCAGGGACACAACTGGAACAATTCTCTTTCACCCATCACTTTCTAGAAACACTTCCTGATGTCCATGAAGAAAAGTCTACAGAGGTGAAATGCCTCATTATAGGGCAGCTGGTGGCTTCTGGAAAGTCTTTCAGCCTCCCCAATAGTTTGGATGATGTGGCAGGGCAAAGCAGGTATGAAAGGTGGAGAGCTGAATGAATCCACTTATAGCTTTCATCAAAGCCTTAAGAAAAGCATACTGGGCCCCAGCACACCTATTATGATGTCACGCCCCAGGTCAGGGCTGTCAGAAGTGGTAGGCTATGAAAAAGGGGTCCCCAGGTCCAAAGCCCGAGCCCAGCTCATTGCTGGCACTGGCTATGTTTGTGCTTCCAGGAAGCATGGTGGAGAAAGGGCTGGGGCTGCACAGCCCCCAGCCGCTTCCTCCATGTGCACCCTGAGGTGCACGTGCAGCCACTGCTAACACAGAACCTGGGCTGCTTGCAGCAGGCAGACTGCAAACAGCTGCACCAGGGTCTAGAGCCCTGGCCTGGCTGTGTGGCAGTGGTGGAGGCACATGTGCCTCAGGGCTCATGGCAGGGAAGGGGCCTGGGAAAGTGCAACCCTGGCTTCTTCCCCACCATGTGCCCCAAGGTGTGTGTGCAAGTGCTGTCGCCATGAAGCCAGGCTGAGACTTCAGACACTGGGGCAGCTGTTTGCATAGCTCCAAAATCATAGAAACACAACCATGGACAATCCAACACAGCCCAAGAGCTCATCTCCCAGTCCAGCCCACCCAGGAGCTGAGTTGACGCCTTCAAGCTATACAGATGAATGAGTAAACGTTTCAGGATCACTTGCCTGCTGAAATCAAGTTGTTTCATAATGAGTTTCCTAGTCTCGTTCCTAAACTCAAACACAAGGTATCGTCATCCTCCATCTGCCATTCCACCCTTTGTTATTGCCTCTCCTTGGTGGATGAATGTGGGCCAGCTAGTCACCCCTGCAGTTGCTGATTCTTTCATCAGCTCTGCCATGACAGCTCCTGGAGTCCCTCAGCAAACCTTCAGGCAGAACTGTTGGTTGGCTTGCAGTTTGTTGCTACAGGTGGATTTAAAAGGGGAGGTTGCTATCCCCAGCAGCCAACCAGGAAACACTATCAGTGGCCAGCTGATATATCAGCAGGCTTAGGCTACCAGTTACAGTCTCTGGCAGGTTTGGCCACCTGAGCAATTAGTCCAGGCTGAGCTGCCTTTAAGAGCCCTTGACAACATAGCCTATGGAAAAAGGCGTTGGAGAATGCACAGCTGTTCATGTACATACCTGTGGTATATGGACGCAGTGAGCACATCTATATGTGCGTATTAACACAGCAATAAACTGTGGTGCATATAATGCCGGAATTTATTGCTCCCAGGCACTGCATTTAGACGGGAGTCCAGGACCAGCATGTTGAGCTGGGTCAGAGCAGCCCCAGCTGTCAGGGGGTCAGTCTGCCAGCCTGGGGCTGCTCCAACATAGTTCAACATGCTGCAGTGGGGCTGGCTGAGGGACAACGATGCTCCAGGACAGGGCTAGCCAGCAGACAGCCTCCCCACTGAAACACCCTCATAAAAAAAGCGTAAAAAAAATATCTGCTTCTGCTTGGGGGATTGGAGGGAAGACACGTATGGTGTCTAAAGATCTGTTTTCTTGTCAGCTGCACAATGGTGAATCTGTTACATGGGACTGGCTTATTTACTTACCATCTATTGGAAATGTCTACTGTTTTCCCTGCAAACTTATTTCTATCAAAGTGCATGCATTTATCCAAGGATTGATGACTGGAAACACCCTGAACGCCTATCAGAACATGAGAGAAGTCTACAACATTGGAACTGTACGCTGGCATGGATACGGCATGCAAAGGCAGCAGATATGGTAGATGCAGATCTAAGATGACAATTTCAATCAGAGAGTCACTACTGGTGAGATGTCCTTAAGCGTCTTTTAGCAGTTATCAAATTCCTAAGTGAACATGGACTTGCATTCTGTAGGCACGATGAGCTGTTAGGATCACCACATAATGGAAACTATTTGGGGATTTGGGAGTTGATTGCTCAATTTGATCCATTTTTGGCAGATCATATGGCTAAATTCAGACAGAAGGGTAAAGGTGAAAAGGGTAAACAGTGAGAAGCCCCACAGTCCAGATTCAGCCTACTAACTCCTTTGAGTTTGATGTCCCCAGTTTAATCAATACCAGTCCCTCCTTGAACACTTACATGCCTGATGAGAATATATTTTTCCATCTCAATTTCCTAAAGGCATTTTGTAGTTCCTTGTTCCTCAGAATAAAAATAGTAGGGCTCAGTAAAGGGTATATAGTATTAGTATTAATAAGTAGTACATAAATCACTTCCCCTCATTTCAACACCTGATACTCCACCCCTATGCATTCAGTCCTTCTACGGTACTTTGCGTTGGTCTTTCATCAGTCCAATGGGACTTCCCTGCCTAGCAAGACATGGGATAGCCAGGGTGAGGGCGTATTTATACCCAGCATTGATCTAGTAAAGGATCACCTTGAGAGGCTGGACACCTTCAAATCAGCTTGTCCTGACAGATTACACCCTAGGGTACTCAAGGAGCTGGCAGGTGTCATAGCCCAACCATTGGCAAAATATTTGAAAATTTGTGGCACTCAGGTGAAGTACCTGAAGACTGGAAGAAGGCCAATGTGGTACCCATCTTCAAGAAAGGGTGGAAAGTAGATCCCAGGAATTACAGGCCAATCAGCTTGACCTCAATCCTTCGTAAAATTCTTGAGAAAGTTATCAAGGAGATACTTCTGGATAAGCTGGCTGATGGTACCATCCTGAGGGATAGCCAGAATGGGTTTGTCGTGGGTACGTCTTGCCTGACCAATCTCATCTCCTTCTATGACCAGGTGATGTATCACCTGGGCAAGGGAGAAGAGATTGATGTCATATACCTCGACTTTAAAAAGGCCTTTGATCTGGTGTCCCATGATCTCCTTACAGAAAAATAGGTGAACTGTGGCCTCGGCTACACCACAGTCTGATGCTTGGGAAGTTGGCTCTGAGGTCAGATCCAGAGAGTAGTGGTCGATGACAGCGAATCATTATGGCACTCTGTGACCAGTGGTGTCCCCCAAGGCTTTGTCCTTGGACAAGTTCTCTTTAACATCTTTCTCAATGGTATGGACATTGGTGTCAGAAGCGCACTGGCTAAGTTCGTCGATGACACTAAACTTTGGGGCATTGCATCCACACCTGAGGACAGGCTAGTAATCCAGGCTGATTTAGATAAGCTTAGTAAGTGGGTGGACATAAACCTGATGACGTTCAATACCAATGAATGCAAGGTACTCCACCTCGGAAAAAAACCCCACAGCATAATTATAGGCTCAGCAGCGCAACATTTGCCAGCACCACTGCTGAAAGAGACTTGGGGGTCATGACTGACCACAAGATGAACATGAGCCACTAATGCGATGTCACAGCTGGCAAAGCAAATAAAACCCTGGCTTGCATCTATAGATGCTTCTCAAGTAAATCTGAGGATATCATCCTCCCTCTGTACTCGGCCTTGGTGAGGATGCAGCTGGAGTACTGCATCCAATTCTGGACTCCGCAATTCAAGAAGGATGTGGAGAAGCTTGAGAGAGTCCAGAGGAGAGCCATGCACATGATCAGAGGGCAAGAGAATAGGCCTTATGAAGAGAGGCTGAGAGCCATGGGACTCTTCAGCCTGGAAAAGCACAGGCTCAGGGGGGACCTGGTGGCTGCATTTAAGTACACAAGGGGTGTTCATCAGGATCTGGGGGGACGTCTGTTCACCAAAGCACCCCAAGGAAAAACAAGGACCAATGGTCATAAACTCCTACAAGACTGTTTTAGGCTGGGCATAAGAAAAAATTTCTTTACTGTCTGAGCCCCCAGGACCTGGAATAGACTCCCTCCAGAAGTGGTGCAGGCACCTACTTTGGACTCATTCAAGAAACACTTGGATACTTATCTTGCTGGGGTCCTTTGAACCTAGCTGACTTCCTGCCCCTGGTGCAGGGGGCTGGACTTGATGATCTTCGAGGTCCCTTCCAGCCCTAATGTCTATGAAATCTATGAAACATGGTATCCCCAACAATCACTGTCTCCTCCCCCTCAGCACCAACATCTGACACTGCTTCACTGATCCTCCCCTCACAGTGATGCCATCATGACACCACCTCTCTGCTCCTCCTCTCATCATAACATTAGTATTACACTCTGTCCCTCACTCACACTGATACCTCACTGCCTCTATTCTCCCAGTGATGCCCTTATGATTCCTCCACCTCACAGCTCCTCCTCTTACAAGGCCCTTAATGACTTTAGCAGTAATTCCTGTATCAAGCTGTTACTTATGCAGAAGACAAATGGGGCTAATTATCTACTCATGTATAAATGTTATCAAGAGTGCACCAACAAGACAAAAGGGTGAGTAACTATGTAAGGATAAGGAAGTGAAAAAATAATTCCCAAAATGCTTCAGCCATCTCTATTTTCTACAGTTCTGCAAAACATGGGGCAGAAATTGATCTAATAAATGTCTACATCATCCCAGTAAAAATAACTGATACTTCATTCTTAATAAGAATTTTTATTAGAACTTTGTAGGCTGAAGACATTTTAAATAGTAATATCCTATGCTTGGCACATTTAAAAAACTAAGACACATTCACTCATATTCTTTATTTTAAAGGAAATATAATACCTAACAGAACTAACATAGCTCCTTAAAAAAATCCCAAATAGCGAAAGTAATTACATTTACTAACCAAGAAAGAAACATTTTTAAGTTGTATTTTTGGGGAAAAGGTCCTGAAGCTACAAATTCACCTTCCTTAAGAATGAATGTTCACAAAGTCAGTTGCTTCCACCAAAAATGCGCTGTAGTGGAGGGAAGAGTGTGCTGTGGCAAAACAAAGAAAACAGATTATGCTTTATATACATCTGTGCAAACTCAAATCACCTACAAGAGCTTTTCCAGAAGGAGAAAAATCCTAGAACCAGATACCTTAGGTACCCACAGATGTTTAGGGCTCCGCTCTAACTCATGGCATTTTACACAGATGTAACCCAGCACTGCTCCTCCTTCCCCCCCTCTCTCCTCCCTCCTTTTCATCTCAGCCTTTTGTATTCAAATCATTCTCTCCATTTGATACACTGCTCTGAGCACGTTCTTTCATAGCACCTAATGAAGTGAACAGGGGTCACGGAAGCTCATGCTAAACATGAAGTTGTGGGTGATAGGCAAGGTACCAAAGGACAGGAAAAGGGCCAACATAGTGCCCCTCTTTAAAAAAAGGCAAAAAGGAGACCCTGTGGAACTACAGAGTGGTTAGCTTTACCACAATACCTGGGAAGTTACTAGAACATACTCCAAGGAAGTCCATTTGCAAGCATCTGGAGAATGAAAGCCTGATCACAAGCAGCCACCATGGATTTACAAAGAAAAATCATGTCAAACAAAATTGAACTTCTACTTTGACAAAGGTACACTTAGGTGGATGAAGGGAATGCTGTAGATATAGTGTACCTGGATTTCAGCAAGGCTTTTGACAAAGTCCCATGTGACTTCCTTATAAACAAATCAGAGAAACGCGGGCTAGACAAAACTACAAGGTGGATAGACAGCTGGCTCAACAGCCAAAAGCAAAGGGCAATTATAAATAGATCTGTGTCATAATGGCAGGTTTTCAGTGGAGTCCCACAGGGGTCGGTCCTGGGTCTAGTGCTGTTCAATGTGTTTATTAATGGCTTGGATGCTGGCATACAAAGCTTCTTGAGCAAGTTTGTGGACAACTGGGAAGGATTGTAAATAAGGAGGACGGGAGCATAATTCAGAAGGATCTCAACAGATTGAAAAGCTGGGCTAGAGCTAACAAGCTGAAGTTCAATGCTAATAAATACAGGGTGCTACGCCTTGGGAAGAATAATAAAAAATACACATACAAAATGGGTGAAGCCTGGTGGATGGCAGTACTATGGAGAAGGATCTGTGTGCCTTGGCAGATTACAGACTCAGTATGGTAAATGTGGATTTTGGATGCAGCGATAGAAACATTAGCTGCAAGACAGGGGAAGTGATAGTGCCTTTCTACTTGGTACTGGTTAGGCCTCATCTAGAATACTGTGTGCAGTGCTGGACTCCACATTTTAAGAAGGACATGGAGAAGTTAGAGAGGGTCCAAAGGTGGGTGACAAAAATGATAAAGGGTTTGTAAAGCAAGTCATATGAAGTGAGACTGAAGGAGCTAGGTGTGTTCAGCTTGCAAAAAAGAGCTTAAAAGGGGACATGATAACAGTCTTCAAATACTTGAAGGGCTGCCATAAAGAGGGAAGGTACCTTTTCTCTCTTGTTGCAGAGAGTACGATGTGGACCAATGGCTTGAAGTTGCAGCAAAGTAAGTTTAGGTTGGCTATCACGAGAAACTGATTTGCTGTAGTGGGACAGTGAAATAGACTGCCTAAGGAAGCTGTGGACTCACCATCACTGGAGATGTTCTAGAAGAGGTTGGACAACCACTGGTTGGGGATGATGCCTATGTTCTACTATGGGTATTTTCCATGCTTCTTGGCTTTACTGGTTGCTTCTGCCTTCCTCTTTCTGCTATATGTGTTAGGGTGTTTTTAAGTCTCCCTCAGAGCCACTGGGTGTTGGCTACAGTCAAGGCAGGGGATTTTAGTAAGGTTTGTCAGTGCTTCTGCTAGGACTTAAAGCTGGAGGTTCCTGGCTAGAGGGTCTTACCTTTCTACTTAGGATCAGACTGATTGCCATATTTGGGGTCAGGAAGGAATTTTACCCCATGGTCAGATTGGTATGGATTGTAAGGGTTTGGCCTTCCTCTGTAGTGGGGGGTTTGGCCCTCTTCCTGGGATTTTTTGAGTTTATATTAACAACCTTTTACAGCACCAGGACTTTGGGCACTGTGGTCCCCCTGCTTTACTGTGGTAGGTTAGGGCATTATGCCCTGTGTTAATTGTTGATTGCTAGGAGGTTAAACAATGGATTTGTGTAGGATGGTTTGGACAGGGATGGCCCTGCCTCAGGCAGGGGGTTGAATTAGATGACCTATGGAGAGGTCCCTTCTAGCTCTACTTTTCTATGATTCTATGATAGGTGCTTTATAGCTAGTGTAGTACCTTTTCCATAATTCAAGAAAACCTCTTCCTTTAGACTCCACACTTCCTTCATTCTCACTTGGGCTGACTGGCTGCAGCAATAGCATTCTATTTTCCCACTGGCCATTTTCTGATGTATTTGGTTCAGCACTATTTTCCACAGGTTCCCCTACAACAGCTAAGAATAAGAATAGATAGTGTGATTCAAGATGAGGAGTACTTACCTTGGGCCAGAATCTCAGCTGGTACCTGCTGATTTTACTAGCAAAGACTCTGGCTCTTATGTTACCTCTCAGCTCTGTGTTCTTGGGGAACCCTGGCACAGTACGCAGCCTGTCTGACTCATGAAGGACTTCCCCACCCCCCACCCCACCCCGCACTGGAACTGATCAGAGGAAGGACTTACAAAGGACAATGAAGATGCAATGGGAGACACTCCTAAATCCCTCTGAACAAGGGAGATAGGAGTAAGGCAACTCCTGTAGTCTCATTTACACCAAAGATGGAACAAGGAGGTATCTCCATTAGCATTCAGGATGGAGAACAGAGATTCCAAGGCAAGGACTGCACTGAGCTCTGGGACCAGAGAAGTAGGGGAGCACTGCATGATGGAGGATCTCTGCTCCAAATGCTAATCAACCCATGTCTGCACACACCCAGCTTAGCATTTATCAGACCATTTCTAGTGATGACTCCTTTATTGGTACCCAACACACTGAATCTGCCTGTTTGCATTGCAAGTTCCCTCAGAGTAACAGATGCCCATAGCCAGGAATGATCAGCTCCTATTGTCCAGTATAACAAAACAACTCAGGTATACTTCCTTAAGCCATCATTTACCTATAAAGAAACCTAATTGTCATCTCCCTACAAAACACCCTACCTAAGCTCATGTTTCTGTTCTGGTGCTTGGATCCAAATGCTGTACCAGTTACACTGGGACTTCACCTTCTCCTTTCCTGCCTGGAATACCTCCACTGATCGTGCTGGGGGCTCTGCTTGTCTCAAGCACTCTGGACCTGAAACTGAACAGTTTGTCTATAAGCTCCAACAAACACCTGGAGCCTCGACCAGTTCAAGCTTCACGGAGTGGTGAGACCCCAAATCTCTCTCTCTTTCTCTCTCTCTGTTTAAGCTCACTTTCAGACTTGATTTAATCTCTCTCTCTCCTTTTCTCTTACTCTAGGCATTACCTTATAAACCTGACTTTTGTTGATCAGACTTGAGCTAGATTTCCCAAAATACCCAACTGAAGTCATGTAATACTGTAACTGTTTTGGTTGTTTTTCCCTGTATGGCTATTACTACTAGTATTATAAGTTTCATATACCTGGTAATAAAATAACTTATGGTTGAGCTGTTTGCCATACTCTCTCTCTGAACCTCATTTACTCTTTCTTCTCCTCGACCCCCCTCACTCCCCATTTGCTCTGCAGCAATGCTTCTTTTACCTAAGCCAAACATCCCTGTAAAGCTCCAAAATCCTGTGGGGTCTGCTCATCAAGGGAGTTACTATCAGGACAATTGGGACAACAGACTGGGAAGTGCTGAGCTGTGGCATATAAGGGTGTCAGCCTCTAAATGCTGAGTAACCCTGCCCGCTCAGGTGTGCTCTGTTAACCTGTGTGCATGTGTCTGACTGCATTTTATTGTTGCCCTTCTGAACTACTGTGCTGGGTCTGTGGCATATGAGGGTGTCAGCCTGTAAATGCTGATTAACTCGGCCAGCTCAGACATGCTGTTCCTGTGCTGAGTCTGTGGCACATGAAAGTACCAGCCTGGAAATGCTGAGTAACCCTGCCCGCTCAGACGTGCTCTATTAGTGTGTGTGTGTGCATGCATGCACATGCGTGCGTGCGTGCGTGCGTGTGTGTTTGATTCGGTAGCTGGAGGAACTCAGCCCCACTGAAACTAAGCCCTGCAAGGTAGATCCATTGTGGGTGAGGACTTGCAGAAGGGAGAGACAGAGCTCTGTAGTGAAATGCAAGTGACACAAGCAGTATATTGAGAGAATTGCAGAGACCCCAGAAACATAACTCTAATAAATGAGCGGACCCCAAAAGGACGGGCAAATCTGGTAACACTTGTAGGGTAAGGTCACACCTCAATTATTATAAAGGGAATGTTACACTCATTTAATCAGTGCAGTTTTTTAATTATTATTATAACCAATTCAAGCATACTAATCTGGTAATTCCATGCTTACATAAATTAATACCGTCTTTCTTAAGGTCTTCAGGAGCCTGATATTCAAACCAAATTTCTTCAGACGGATTCTGGGGGTGGAGGGAAACAATTCTGTTACATTTACAACATTGGGTTTTTTTCTCTTTTCCTCTATGAGAAACACAGTATAATCATAACACTGTATTATGTTTTTTCCTTTTTTCTCATCAGCCTGCACTTTTATACTAGATATGTATCTTTAGATGATCAGTTAAAAAACTCAGAATTTAGAAAAAGCTGCAATCTTCCCATTTCACCTTCAGTTTTTTAACTTCATTTTAAGAGAATGGAGACCAGATCTGAATATCTGCAGGGTGCCTATAAGATATGCATGATCCATCCTCTCACATGCCTTCTCTGTGAAAGGGTAGAAGGGCAATTGACAGACCATCCCTATTTGCCAGATGGATAAAGAATCCCAGGCCAGGGAAAGATGGTCAGAGGTTATCTGGCCTGGAACAATATAGGTCCAGTTGTGATGGGTCACATTTGCTAGCATTCAGTTCCAAACACATAGCTTTACTACAACCATATAGTCTCAATGCCAAGTCATAATACTGGACACCAGTTTATCAGGATACAAAGATGTTTCTTCAGGCAGTGGGATATTTAAAATGGGTATGGATTTAGCCTGGATTCATCTGGGGGTAAGTTTGCAATTGGTGGAGTTATATGAAACTAAGCTCAGGGTTTGTGCCAAGAGTCTACAGCTTTTTTGAACCGGGGATAGATAACTTTTCATAGTACAAATATTTTGTTTGTCCAGGCCTTCATATGTGAGGCCAGAGGATCTCAGCTATAAATATCTTCGAAGAACAATTTTTTTAGCTGCTCCACTGATCTTTCACTGCTCTTTCAGGCATCATATGCTGCTGAAAGAACGTCTAATGAATGAATGGTCTGTGGGCACCACAGCTAAACATTTCCTTATGTTACTTAAAGAATGATCTAAGATGGGACTCTTGGAAGCCCAGAACACAGCAGTCTAAACGTAGGGTGACCACCCATCCCTATTGGGTAAGACAGTCCTGGAATGGGAACCTCAAGTCCTGGTCCCAGGCTTCATGACTCCAGGATAGCATTTGTCTTGGATTTGCAGTGTTGTGCAGGGATCTGTGGGAAATGGCGGGTTTCTCTTTGCAAGCTGACAGCACTCCTGGGGGAGAGGGGCAGATTGAGGCCCCCAAGGTGAGGGAGGAAGTAGGGCAGGGGCTGGGGGTGCTGCCCAGCCAGGACAGTGCATGGGGCCAGGGTGTAGAGCAGGACAGAGCCACAGGCAGCTGATCTATGGGACATGGGGAGGGGTGCTGCTCTCCACTGCTGCATGCACCCCCTGCCAGGTGGGCATTAGGGGCACGTGCCTCCCCAGATTTGTTTGCAAGGCGGGGCTGGATATGGGCTGCCCACTGCAGGTTCGGGACTCCCTGCCCTGCTGGCCTACCCCACCAACCAGAAGCCCCTGCTGCCTGCCATAGTGATGCACACCCTGCTGCAGTGGTGTGGAGGGGGCCCACGGCTGGCACTGGGCTCCTGGAGGAAAGGAGTGGCAATGATGTGGAGTTGTCCCCCCTGCTCTGCTTCTGGGTGGGCAGGGGGCACATGGTCAGTCGACACTAGGCTCCTGGGGGAAGGGGGCAGTGGGCAGGGGGCACATGGTCGGTTGGCACTGGGCTCCCAGGGCAAGGGCAGCAGGGCAGGGAGCCCCAAGCCCACAGCAGGCAGTCAACATCCGCCCCTATCCCTGGCTCTGCCCAGTTCAGCTCTGCTTTGGCTGTGCCACTAGCAGAGGTGGGGGGAGGAGGGAAGGGCGAGCATGTATTCCACCTTTACATTTTTAAAAAGTGGTCACCGTACCTAAATGGTTACGATGGTTTGATATCTGCTCATTCAAGGGACAAGTAAGATGAATGAAATTCTTCTATCAAAGATGTCCAACTCCTGTCCTCTGCTTAAAGGGGCAGAGTGAAGTACATTACTTCCTCTAATTTCTCTCCAAAACTGCAGATATCTCAAGGTGGTTTGTACCTTGAGGTGGTTTATCAAAGGATGCTGTAATAGAAACTGATGGTCTTCACCTGGCAAAGGAAACCTCCTTCCCATTCTTGTGTGTAAGTGGAAGTGAAGACGATAAAAGATAAATAGCCCTCACTGGGTCAAAAAAGACAGAGCTGAGATGAAGAACCAGCTTTGGTTTTGTCCATAAACACATTAAATAGGGATTCAGAGGTTTCTAGTGTCAGGACATCCTACTTGCAGCTAGTCACTGTCTGTCCTTCCTCTCTAGTTCCTGAAACGTTCTGTTTGTCATGAAAGAATAGTACAGGATGTCTTCAAGATTCTCATTCCATTCCTTAGGTGGAACGGAATCAAAGATCCAGCCCATGGTCACTGTGTCAAACAGCTTGCAAGGTTTCCCACTGGGCTGAAAATTTGGCAGCTGGATTTGCAGTGGCAGCATCAATTGCCTCAGCTCCCAGAGCTGCAGAAATTAACACTGCTACTATCTGTCATGCTGTCAAATTTCTAGTCCCATGGGTCACATCCAGACAGCAAAGCTGTGCAACCTGGGGCTGGAATTTTGGTAGTGAGAAATACAGTAGCTGCCATGGTGCCTGAACCTGTGACAATTATGCTGCAGTTGCCCAATTTCTGGCCCCGTGACATGAATAGATGCTGCAGCTCCACAGGCTGGACACAGTCCATTAACTGGCCCTGTACAATTCATCCAGCCCAAGGACTGGTTCGGCACAACTCTGGCCCATTTTTGCACTGATTCTGAGGACAGTATCATGATCATGACCAGACCTCATTTGGGAGCCTTCAGGAGGCCTTACAAGCATTGCAGAATGCAGGATCACAAAAAAGGGCCCTGCATAAGGTCCCTCTACATGTCAGGACCTGTGAAGAGAAAAGACAACTAGAATTTTGAAGGCCAGGAGGACAATCTTCCAGGCTTGTCACTGAAAGCTGTGTCCAGACAAACAGGGGTGTATGCTTGCAGCAGCGCAAATAGTAGCAGCACAAATTTATGCTGCTACTTTGTGCCACAGTGCATACCCCTGTATATGCACTTTGTTGCGGCACACATTGCCCTACTGTGGGCAAACTGCCCAGTCCCAGCTCCTCCCAGCTCCCAGCATACTGGAGCAGCTGGGACATAAATGGAGCATAGAGATGCTCTGGCAGTGTCTCCCTGGGGAACCAAGCCTCCATTAGTTATGGTACACACTACTGTAATGTGTGCTGTGCCACTTTTTCTCCTGGTGCCTTATTTTTTGCTACCCGGAAATCCTGGTAGTAAATTTTGCATGTTTTAATGTTCCATGTGTGCAGTTTGTGGTGCCATGAACCACACACCCCTGCTCATCTAGATGTGGCCAAAGATCCTAAGTTTACTCCATGGTGGTCACAGTTTGCGAAAAGATGCCTATGCAGGTGCAGAAAATTAAAGAATATCAAATGTTTTTATTAAACAGTTCAATAAGTGGACATTTATTCAATGACATCTTTTCACTTGAATAACTGTCCATATACACGGTTTTGCTGACAGGGTTTCTGGTGAAAAGAGATACTAAAGTCTGGCTCATGAACTTTTATAGCTGCAGTTCTGAGAATCTGGGTCTAAGGATACAGAGAGATGAACAAACTATACCAAATTAAAAAGGGCTGAACAGACTTACTGCCCAAGAACTGACCCCCAATGCTTGGTGGGGCCAGTCCAATTCTGAGGGAAGTGGAAACTCAGCTGAGGCAGTTCACCCCTAAATAAAATACGTTTCTGCAAGCTTCTACTTACTATGGGATAGGAGCAGACTCATGAAACATTACTGCAGAACACCTAAGCCTAAATCCCATTTATTTTCATGTGCACGGAGGCCCTTACGGAGTACTGTTACTGCAGGCTTTGGCACTTGCACATATTTTGGGATTCAGCATATGGGAAAGGCTGGAAAGGGGTCAGGGAAAAGTCTCTCATGGGACCCTGGGCAGAAGTGAGGTGATCATTTTTATCCAGTGCACATTCCAGCCCTCCCCTGGAAGCCAGTGGGCTAAACAGTCAAGAAGGGAAGATATGTGGTCACACAGATGATGCAGAGCAAATATGGCTCAGTAAGATGTATCCTGCCCTGGAAAGGGGGAAAATGGACTCTAGCTGACGGCCCTACTGCCCGTGGGGTAGAAACAAATCACAGTGTTGTATAATCTAGTGGTTCTTGTTAGACTTGAGGCACATCTTGGAAAATGCCAGCTTTTAGTTTTCACTTGTTTTTTGTCTACAGAAAAACAGCAGAGCAATTCTTCTGTTGGAAAGAATTTAAAAGGACTACAACAGGTCAGAGTGTTTTTAACTCAAATTCCCATATGAAATCTCTGGGTTTATTCTATAAAACATGTTTGCAACACCTAGTACTGCTAATATTGCATGGCACCCCACAGCACCTTTGAAAAGACACCCCAGGGTGCTGTGACCCCCTGGTTGAGAATCACTGGTCTAGCCATTTTATCAATTGGAAATTAAATGACAAGTGCAATGGGCCAGCATAAAGAGGACGAGAGAGCACACTCCCCTCTCTAGTGGGGAGTACCTTGAACCCAGGTTTCTTACACCTGGGCAACTGGGCTAAAATATGGGAGGGCTCTCTCCCTCCTCCACTGTACTAACATGCAGTAAGTCCTCCACCCTGCAACATTCAACTTGATTTTGTGTGTTCTTCTGGTATTTTTCCTAAAAGATATGAATGCTTATGAATGATGTTGTATCTTACCCGTCTGCATGGACTGTTTGTCTCACTTGTATTGTGAATATCTTCAGCTCCAGCCCTAAAAACAAACCAAAAGTATAAGGACTGAAGTCTAAGAAAAGACACAGAGAATTATGCTATAACCAGCTACAACTACAAATATTTAATTAAAACTCAGTTTGATATTATTTTGGCTTCTACAATATATACTTCAATTTTAAATTTTAATGGTGAGCTCTGATTTTGATTAAATATTTCTGATTTGTAAAAAATGAAAACCTGAAAAAAACATCAGTGGAGTTTTTCACTGAAACCTTATGAAAAATTGAAAGAAAAATAATAACAACAAAAATGCATATTGTGACGGAGTGGAGGAAGGACAAGAAGAATTGTACCTGCAGAGCCAGCAGGGAGCAGTGAAACAGTGGCGAGAAATGGTGCTGATTAAAAAGACAAATGCTGGGGAAATCCCACCGCCACTGTGGTCACACTTTGTAAGCATGTGCTGCTGCCACTTGATGGGAAGGAACCCCGTGCCCAGGTTAAAAGCAGCCTGGTCTGTGGAGATGGACAGACCAGAAGTGAGGTCCGGAAGCCCCAGAAGTGGTGAGCAGTGGAGAGCAGCCTGTCGGCAGCAAGCCCACCAAGACGGCTCAGAGGAGCAGAGTGACTTACCGACAGGATTGTCCTGGCGGTTGGGAGCAGATGACTGGGACCTGAGCAGGGACATCGAACCTGAAAGAGAAGATAGAGATGTTAGTTGAGAGGAGTTGTGAACAGAGTGGGGCAAGAATAGCTCACAGTGGACCATTCTGACCGTGGATCCTTAGGTCAGCAGGGTCTCACAGGGCAAGGACCAAGTGGTCCAACTCTGGGCTGAAAGACTGTAAGAATGAACTAAGATCCGGAGTGATCTTTGAATTGTGTATGGTTTTGTTTTATGCATTATCTACTTCAGAAGGCACTACAAGAGAATATAGTCTTCGTACCCATAACCATCTATTTCAGACCTCAGAGGTTGGCATAAGGCGGGGTGTAGGGGAGGTTGAGCCCCAGAAGATGGTGCCAGGGCTGGATTAAGTACAACATGCATGAGGATTAAGAGCTTCCTCCCAATTTATATTTAAGAACAAGTCGTGGCAGGAAAGAGAGGTTGGCCTTACTCCAGTTCTGGGTATACCAGTTGGTCTTACTCCGGTTCCAGTTATACAAGGCTAAGAGCAATCTGTCTGTCCGTAGGGGAACTGAGACTGAAAGAGATCGAGTGAAAAAGTTGAGGTGCACCTCATGAGATAGGCACGGGTGCTTCCATACATATATACAAAAATACATATATATATTTAATTTTTTTCTTGGGAACAAAAGTCATTCTCCGATCAGCTTTGGTTAGAAAGGAAGACTCGTGCAGAACATGAAACTTAAGGTTGTAAGCATCAACAAATGTTCATTCTTTCCTGTCCTAGAGGCACGCCTAAGCCTTGGAAATTACCCGTTTCTACATGACTCAACCAACCACAGCACTTATTTGCTGAATGCTTAGCTTATTTTATTTGGGTAAAAGATCCCAAGCATGTATGCCACTTCAGAGACAATAGACAATCCAATATGCTGATTTTTTTAGAAAAAATACAGCTCATGAAAAAGGACTTTGAATGTGATATTACAAACAGAATGTTTATGTGCACTATGATAACTGCAACATTGAAAATAGAGGTTACAATGGTTTTGTACAGCTTCCATAACAGCTCCATAGTGATCTTGTAAGAGTTTCCCTACTGCGAGCTCCACCTCCCCCCCACCCCAGGAAGAATTCTTAAAAAACAAATGAAACATTTTCTTTCCCAATGAAATGCTTCATGAATGGCCACTGGAAAAGGGAAGTCTGTGGTCAGGTTTAATGGTAATTATGGTATGAGACATTAAAAATTCTCACTTTTAATTAAAAAAAATTAAATTCTCACTTACATTCCTTCACACATCCCCCGCCTCCTGTCTCTACCCATTGTCTTCCAAACTTCCACCCATTTACATTTTCACAGATTTCTTGTTACACTTTAGTTTCTTTTCTCTCTTAGAGAACTCACAACAGCTGAAGAGTCTTCCTGTGCCTGACAAAGGGTGTTTGTGCTGGAAAGCTTGAAAATAACTTTTTTCCAACTATTTTAGTTGGTCTAATAAAAGCTATCACATCTATCAAAAGAACCTTGCCTACATATGTCCTTAGACCAACACAGCTACAAGCAACAACCCTTCACTTTTAATAAAAGCATCTGTGTTTGCTTTCAGCTTTTTTGTTTGGATTAGAATACCAAGTGTTTTGTCTGGAAGCAACCTTTAATTCCTAGCCATGTCTGACGTAACAGCCAACTTTTAGGACTTCTTCAGCAAATTAAGGCCCTGGACGGATGTTCTGTTTTGAAGCACTTCAAGAGACCAGAGCTTGAGAGGTAAGGCAGGAATTCCTGCTCTCCAGTTAGGGGGCTGAAAGGATTCCTGGCATGCCATCAGCTCCAGAAGGTCCTGAGGACAGCCAAACACACACGAGAATACTTTTTAGCTGTCCATCATGCTCTCCCTCCCTCTCCTGATGAGGCGGGTACATTAGAGCTGCAGGACTGAACAATACCCTATTGTGGCCCTATTATGCAGAGCAGCACTGCTGCATGTCGCCACAGCAATTTTTTAAGTCCTCAGGCAGGGTAACATGTGGAGGATATTACACACCTGTACAGCACTTGAAATGCTTTGCATCTGAAAGTGCTTCAAACTGGAATGGAATTTGAAGTGTTTCACATGTACCTCTGTCCATAGGCCTAGCAGTTAATCTTTGAGTTTTGTTAGGCAGATTGAATCTAAAAGAGTCCGAAAGTCCCACAGACTTTAATTGAGTTACGGGTTTTATAGACTTTGAATCACACTTGGTCTTGCAAGGAGTTTAGATGCTGTATGCTTAGCTCTGTTTCTTTAGATGCCAGTCTGTAATATAATGTGTGGTAAGAATGTTCTGTTTTTAGAAGATTTCATCTAGGAGATAGCTGCTGGAGAGCTCATCACACATGATAATTTTCTAACAGAAATGATGTTGCACCTGAACTTTATTACAATGGCCACAGATAAATTAATCTGGAAGTTGGTGGTTGGCTTAAGGAGCAGGAAGAGTGGCCCAGCTACATTTAATGAGGGACAATTACATTTACATACAGGGACAATTTTGAAGCAGTGATGCCTGGAGAGTATTGTGAAAAGCAGCAGATGGGAAGCCCAGAAGATACATACACACACAATTGCTTAGAGGTCATGTGAAGCACTCTGCAGTCCAGAGCAGGTGGAAATGGAAGAGGATCAAAGTCAGCAACAGGAGGATAAAGCAGAGTTCTACAACCAGTTGGTTATGAAAAAAGAATTAAGGAGCTTGGATAAGTTAATGAAAGAAAGAGGATGATAGAAAAGGGAGTTTTGGCTCTCCTGTCAGGGTATGGGATGCATGGAGTTGTGCTTGCAGTCCCTAGGGTGCAGTGTGGAGGGGAGGCTGCCTGGTTATCCCAGGCTTCTAGACTTTGCTCTTTGCCACACGGGGCCAGGAAGGACTTTTTTCCCCTGTTTGCTGTGAGTGTCAGGGTTTGTTTGTTTTTGTTTTTTTTTATCACCTCCCTCAACAGCATTGGGCATTGGCCACAGTCAAAGTTGTGGATTTTGACTGTAGGGAGCCAATGTTCCTTCTGGGACTTAAGAAACCCAGAGGTTCCCAACTAGAGGGTTTTGCTCTTCTGCTTAGTTAGAGACTGTAGTGGGTTTGGAGGATTTGCTCATTCAAACATACAGTCTTTCAGGTTCACTTACTGTCTTTTCCACTATCTTTATTCCTCCAGGGCAAATTCCCTCACAGCAGGAGTCAACGAAACAACTCAGTTCATAAACCAAATGCTTATATCACATAGGGTCTTCTTCCACACCCAAAGAGAGTCTTCAGGCATGGTTCTGCTGCCACCTGCCCACTCTCTCCCTTGTCCCTCCGGTCTCTTCAGTAACAGGAAGGTTCACTCTCAGTCTCTCTGTTGCATTCATGGTCCTCTAGGAGAGAGGAACCCCTAGCATGATTGCTGGGCTCCTCCACAAGCTGACCCGCTGGCTCTATCCCACTCAACACTCCACTCTTGCTTGCAGCTCTCCAACTTTCAGCTTCTAGCTCGCAGCATCCAGCCCACAGCCCTGTTTCTCCCTGACTGACTCTGGCTCTGTTCTCTGGGAGCCCTTTTAGCTGCCTGGATGCCAACTAGTTATCTGCGTCTGCTGGTCCTGTTCCCTAGGCAGTCTATAATCAAGTTTTGCTACCTGCAGCTGAGCTAGTCCTCCTTGCAAGCCTAAAATCAGTTGCTTGTTGGCTGCAGCCCCTGAAAGCATACGGCTGCTATAAGCTCCCTGAAAACACACAGTCTGTTAGAGAGACCAATCACCACATCTGGGATCAGGAAGGAATTCTACCCCATGGTCAGATTGGTGTGGAGGATGAGGGTTTTTGGTCTTCCTCTGTAACAGTGGGCATGGTCCCCCTCCTTGGATCTCCTGAGTGTATTTTAACAAATTACTTCCTATCCTTGCACTAGTAGGAGGACATCAAGAAGCAAACATTTGTTTAAAAAGATTTAGACATGCTCATCCTGATTTGACCAAGGGCTTGGAGTAGCTGACCTCCTGAGGTCCCTTCCAACCCTACTTTACTGTGAATGCTGCTTTTCTCTTCTGTGAAAAGAAGACAGTTCCAACCAGTATTATATAGGCCTGGTGCTTCAAAAGAATTAATTTTCCTAAACTGAGTAAAACTGTGAGTGAAAGACATTAGGAAAACAAAATATTAGACAAAATATGAATAAAAAGTAGGAATTTTGAAAGAAGACTTTTTGAATGCCCCAAACCAATCCCATCTTTAGATGGGCAAGAAACACTTGCCTGGCTATCTTTAGCTACCTGAGTGGCATTTTGGACCCCACACGTCCATTTTAGATCCTCCCCCCTTTTGGGAAGAAGCAAAACTCTGATTATGTCACAAAAAAGATGCAGCAGAGGAAGTTTTGTTCCTATCTTATAGCCCAAAATCCTAGTGGTTAGGGCACTTGCTCAGGGACCATGTCTGGGGAAACTCTTTGAGAAGATCATCAAGGAGCACATCTGTGATGGGCCGGCATCAGGGGTGATGCTGAGGGGCGACCAGCACGGTTTCATTAGGGGCAGGTCATGTCAGACCAACCTGATTGCCTTTTACGATCAGGTCACAAAAACATTGGATGCAGGTGTCGCCATGGATGTAGTCTTTCTGGACTTCAGCAAGGCCTTTGACACTGTCTCTCACCTCATTCTCATTAAAAAACTAGGCAACTGTGGCATCGATGCGTACACGGTCAGATGGATTGCTAATTGGCTGAAGGGTCGTACTCAGAGGGTGGTGGTGGACGGGTCATATTCGACCTGGGGGGAAGTGGGCAGCGGAGTCCCCCAGGGCTCGGTCCTTGGGCCCGTGCTGTTCAATTTCTTTATCAGCGATTTGGATGACGGGGTGAAAAGCAACCTGTTCAAATTCGCTGATGATACCAAAATCTGGGGTGAGGTGGGCACGCTAGTAGGGAGGGAAAGACTGCAGAAAGACCTGGATAGGTTGCAAGGGTGAGCTGACAAAAACAGGATGCGTTTCAATACGGACAAGTGCAGGGTGCTGCACTTGGGCAGTCGTAACCGGCAACACACTTATAAGATGGGAAACTCCCTTCTTGAGAGCACGGAGGCAGAAAGGGATCTTGGAGTCATCATTGACTACCACTGGTCAGGCTGCAGCTAGAATACTGTGTCCAGTTCTGGGCGCCCCACTTCAAGAGGGATGTGGACAACATTGAGAGGGTCCAGAGGAGGGCCACCCGCATGATCTGGGGACAGCAGGGCAGACCCTACAATGAGAGGCTACGGGACCTGAACCTGTTCAGCCTTCACAAGAGAAGGCTGAGGGGGGACCTGGTGACTGTCTATAAACTCACTAGGGGGGACCAGAAGGGTTTGGGGGAGACTTTGTTTCCCCTAGCGCCCCCCGGGATAACAAGAAATAACGGCCACAAGTTGTTGGAGAGTAGGTTCAGATTAGACATCCGTAGGAACTACTTCACAGTCAGGGCGGCTAGGATCTGGAACCAACTTCCGCAGGAAGTGGTGCTGGCTCCTACTCTGGGGGTCTTTAAGAAGCGACTCGATGCCTACATGGCTGGGGTCACTTGAGCCCAGTTTCTCTCCTGCCCAGGCAGGGGGTCGGACCTGAAGATCTACAAGGTCTCTTCCGACCCTACTTCTATGATTCTATGATTCTATATGAGATACTCACTGACTGTGCAGTAGCATCGTGTGTCAGGAAGTGTGATGCGACGCTACTTCACAGTAGTCACAAGGTACTACACAGTCAGTGTCACAAAACAGCCATTCCTTGGTGACTAAGCAATACTGCGCAGTTACTGCACAGTCATTTAATACTTGTTTATATAAGTACTAAATATCTCGTGTAGACATGGCCAGGGAGTGGAAGACTTGGGCTCCAAAAGTGCTTTAACCACCAGGCTGAGGCATAGGCATTGTTCAGAGACCCCTCCCATCCTCCTGTTGAGGCTGGCCCACTGGGCAACCAAAAAGAGAAGATATGTAGGACCAGGGTATACAGCAGGGGCAGCCAGAGGAAGCAAAGCTTGGTTAAATGGCACTGCCCCAGGAGGGAGGGAGCTTTGGGTCCTGACCTCTGCCCCAGTAGGGCAGAAGCTATATCACTGATATCTATTCTTTTCATTAAGGACTGTTCAATGCAAAATATAGAAGCACCATTAGAGATCATGGTTTGGACACTTGCATAGGGAATGGCAGATCTGGGTAGCTTCTAGGACAGGCTGGATGAAGACATCATCCAAGTCTAGTCCAGTGATGCTGAAGCTGGGCCCGAACAGATAGCCAGAGTCCTGAGGCCAGAAGAACAGGATGCAAAACATAGTATTAATCTATTTCAGTGTTGTGGATGCTCCCCTTGGAGGAGGAAACCATGGTTCTAGTCCCTGCTCCTGGGTTATTCTTTGCTTTTAATCAATGACTATCTAAATGTGCAGTAGCACATTTGCATGCTTTTTTAGTGACACTTAATGTGCAGCAGACTATTTTTCATAGTTTCAGGGTCGGAAGGGACCTAATAGATCTTCTAGCCCGACCCCCCGCCAGGGCGGGAGAACAACCCAAAAACACAAACAAAACCACTCACCCTAAAAACAAAAACGGGACTCAAATGAGTCCAGCCAGGTAAGTATCCAGCCTCTTCTTAAAGATCCCCAGGGTAGGGGCCAGCACCACCTCCCTTGAGGTGGTGCTGGCCTGTGACATTTTAATGTCACGGCTTATGTGATGCTTTAATGTGCAGAAGTAAAATAGTCTAATGCACATTAAAGTGCACATGTAGATGTGCCCTGTTAGTCTTAAGTCAGGCAGAAGTTAAGGTAGGGTGATTAACTTGAATCCTACCTTAGAGGCAAACTGGTTTAAAAAAGCATGAACTGTTCATCTCTACCATCCAATGAAGTAGGTTGTTGCCTACGAAAGCTCATGCCTTTCTGAAACAATTAATCTCAAAGGGCATTTATACATGTTCTCCGGCCAAGGGGAGAGAACTGCTCTAATGAAAGTACCTGAAGCATCATGTATATCAGTGTCCCCACACTGAAAAATGGTAGTGGGGATGCTTTAACTAAAGCTCAAATGAGCTGTTATACATGTGATGCCGGAGTCTGCTGGAGCGCAGTAATTACCACGCTTCAGCAGACTTGATTAACTGAGTCTGCTCCAATGTGCTGTAATTACAGCATGTTGGAGCCACCTCACGGCACATCTAGAGGCACCCTAAGGTGCCATCCTACACCACCTTCTGCATAACCCTTTTAGTCAGCGGCAGTTCACTCAGAGTTAGTCAGAGGCAGTTGCGCTGCTGCAGGAGGAGACAAATTAGACTGGAACTCAGAGACACAACATGATTGCTAGTTCACCCCTTGCTACCAGCCTTCATCCCTGGAGAAGAATGATTTTCCTTTTAGCGTTGGTTCAGTTCTGCTGGCTGGTACATTGCTGTGGGCAGAGCCTTGTCTCTATACAACCACATCCACCTACACAGGAGGATGTGGATAGCAGCCCCTTCTCCTCTCTGAAAACCTACCCACGACATAGGTAGGCAACACCAGGTATAAAAAAAGGAACGTTGTGACTGCTTACTCCTCACACATGGGTACATAAAGCTTTTTACTATCTCACTGTTACTGCAAACAACGTTGCTGAAAAGTGCTAACTCTGGGGGGGAAATAGAAACCAAACAGCACAATGCATTAAATAGCAATGAAATTAAAGGGAGGCCCATAATGTATTAAAACTGTAAGCATAGACTTTTGAGGAAATATTAACCATTTTCTAGTAAACTGACCTCTCCACACACGGCTCACTCTGTGACAGCTCTGCTGGGTCCTCCACCCTCCTCTGCCTCCTTGTTGCTTTTGTTTCAGTGTCTCCTATAATTTCACTTCTATTCTTGACCTTTAAAACATTTAAGACTATATTTTCTCCCTTTTGCTTTTAACAAAAAATAATTTTGTAAAGAAAGATAATGAAATAATTAATTTTAACAGAGTTCAAACATTTTAAAACTTTCCAACTACAACACAGGATGAAACACATACACTATTAATGTACAGACTACTAGCCTCTTTACTCATATTTCTAGCTTCTGTTGTGGTGGGAGACAACAAAAAGTTATTGTCATATGGAATTTAATATTAAAAGAAAGCAAGCTACTTGAGACATTTAAATGCTTAAAAATGTAGATGTGTAATTTTGAAAATCTTTGTTGCAGTTGTTCTGCACCTTCAGGCGCCTAAACGCCCTTAAAAATCTAGCCCTAAGGCCTCAAACAGCAAAGGAATTCGGAATAACTTTAACTTCTTCCTGAAATATACCATGTAGGTTGGTATTTTAGAAAGGTACTTCATTACTGTAAAATATTTACTGTAGCACTGACTCAACTGATGGAGATAATTAGTGCAACAGGTCAATTTCAAGGCACTGGATCTTCTGTGGAAGAAGTCCACCTGAAGCAAGTGGGAGCATTCCTGAATCTCATTAAAAACTTGTCAAGGTGAGTAAAAAGACTTCTATTCTCATTAGTGGACTATGGATCAGGCCCAAATTACTTAAAGTTCATTACATGCTTATATGCCTTGCTGTACTGGGACCTAAAGGAAGAGAAATATCAGATTTGTTGTCTTGTTATTTTGTGTTTCCAAATATATGCATTCCCGGCAGCATGTTTTCCCTTTTCTAGCCCATGCACTATAAACCTTAAGTAAAAATATTACTTACAGATTTACAAGCATCCAAATGTGCTTCTTTTCCTGTAATATTTAATATATTTAATATTTAAGAAGGACCTTTTTCATTTAATTTAAAACAATATAATGTCTGCATTGCATCTTAATTTCAGGGAACTAGGTAAGAGCTATAGAAACAGCTTAGAGACCATTTTGGACTTGCATACTGAGAAATGGGTGTATATTTTGTTCTTTATACAAACAGCATCAAGCTTTCAGAATGAGAACTCTAGCCTGTGAAGGCTATATCATGGAGCAATGGAAGCAACTGGTTTTCATGAGCTAGCTGAGGTCTGCTACTGAAAAACATTCATGTAATACAATCTAAGAAAGGGTTCAGCATAAAACTGTTATATTCATAAACAAATGCTTTTAAGGTGGGGGAAACATGGGAAGGATATTGTATGGCAGGGGTCATCAGGGGACCCTATCATGCAGTCTTCCAAAGTTCCTTTCTTGAGCATGAGGACTAATACACATGGAAATACACATGATCTTATGATCCCTTTTGGCCTTAATTTCTATGAAATTAAAAAAAAAAGAAGGAAAACAACACAGATGTGTTGTTTGTTTGTTTTTTTCTCCATAGAAATTAAGGCCAAAAGGGACCATAAGATCATCCAATCTCATGCTTATCACAGCCAACATATTTCACCCTGGGTGTATCTACATGAGATGCTTTACTACACAGTAGACTAATCTACTGTGCAGTAAATTAGTCTACCACACAGTTAGCTAGTACCTGTAAATACAGGTACTAAACTAACTGTGCAGTAGTTACTGTGCAGTAGTGCTTGTGTAGATGCTGACCAGAGAATCCCTGCCCAGCCAGGGGCTCACTGCCAGCTGCCCCATGGGCAGGACAGCTTCTGGTTAGCCCAGGGGTGGGCAAAATGCAGCCCGGGGGCCAGATGCAGCCCACTAGGCCATTCTATCTGGCCTGCAGGGCCCCTAAAAAATCTAGAAAATTAATATTTATATGCCCCTGGCCGCCTATCATGCAGCCCTCAATGGCTTGCCAAAACTCAGTAAGCGGACCTCCGCCCAAAATAATTGCCCGCCCCTGGGTTAGCCCCTGGCTGGGTTGAGATTCCCCACCCAGCTGGGAGCTCACTGCCAGCTGCCCCACCAGCAGAACAACTCCTCCCAGCCCCTGGCTGGGCAGGGATTTCTCGCCCAGCCAGGGGCTCACTGCCAGCTGCCCCACTGGCCAACTGGGGCAGGGGGCTAGGAAACAGCTGCAAGGGAGGGGACACTTTCCCATCCCCGGGGCTGGGAAACAGCTGTCCCCCACCCCGCAGAACCCAGACTTGACACTAGTGCCCCCTGCCAGCCTGGGGCTAGGACCCAGGGGAGTCTAGAGATCTCCCTGGCTGCCATATGGCAGGAGTATCCCTGCCCTAAACTGCCCCTATTGGGAGCAAATTTGCTCCCAACTGGAACACATGTAGATGAGCTCTCACAGAAAGGTTACTGTGCAGTATTTTACTGTGCAGTAAGCTTTCTGTGCATTAATTGCATATGTAGACATACCCCTGAAACCCAAAACTAGATCCAAAGAATTTAGTCAGCCCAAATATTAGTGTTAAAAAATTAAAGTGTCCCACTAGCCCTGGATGCCCCTGCCAGCTATCAGCATGGGCCCTTTTGCTGACATCTTACTCCACTGTTCAATGCACCACTATGTGATAGTAGTGCTAGACCAGCATCCAACAGTCCACCACCAAGCAGCACTAATCCAGCTGCTACCCCAGTGCCACAGACCCAGTTGTGCCCACTACTGCCTTACTTTACAGTGGCAGGGCTGCATCCCCTTGTGAAGACATCTCAGCCAGACTGGCTGCTCCATGGTAAAGGCTCAGCTCAGATGAGCCCCTCTCCATCTTATTATAGTGGAACCTTAAGGGTACTGCAGGGGGTTATCTTCATTAGGCAATAGTACAATAGCCTCAGGGTACAAGACACAGCCTAATATTGGATATCCTTTTTAGGGAAAAATGTCCTTTTATAGACTGGAAAATACAGCAAAACTTTGCCATTGTACTTGGATTTTGGATCCTTATAGCAGAGGTAGAAATGGGGTACATACTAAAAATATGTCCCTGAGCTCCTGGAATTTTATGTGAAAAATGGTCTTCTGTGAGATAGAAGAGAACTCAAGTCTGAAAGTGATCAAGATAAGCTTCCCATCAGTCAGTCTGAGGCGGCAACTGTCCCCAGCACTTCCAAAAGCTGAGTTGTAAAAACCTGTATTTCATTCCAACATGAAGAGACTCCTTTCATAGTCTCACAAGAAGAATTCTAATAGGACCTTCTTCCCTTTCATATTTTTTCAGTGTTTGTTAGCTAGGCACACTGGGCATGTCTACGCATGAAATTAGCGTGTTGCAATAAATTCTGGCGCAGTTCCTGCCAGAGTTTATTGCTCCCAGGCACAGTGTTTACATGTGTGCCTGGGACCACAGCATGTTGAGCCAGGATGGTACAGCCCTAGCTGGCAGGGGGCTCAGGGAGTCAGCTTGCCATCCCAGGGCTGCTCTAACCCAGCTCAGTGTGCTGCAGAGGGGTGGGCTGGGGTTCAAGGGTGCTAAAGTGCAGGGCTAGCCAGCAGGTAGCTGTCTACATGTGCATTGCAGTGGAGTAAATAGCTCTACTATACGCAAGGATAGTATCTGTATCAGGCAGTACTAACCTACGGAGGTCATTAGTTTACTCCAGCCTAATAGCTCTGCATGTGTAGACAGTGATGCTTTACTGAAGAGCTAATCAGGCAACTCAGCACTAAGCGTCTCATGCAGATGTTCCCACTAATTTCAGCATGCTGTGACGTAAGTGCAAAAGGGTATGGTCCCAGAGTTCACTCTGTGCAAGTCTGAAGACTGAGGTCTATCATGAGTGAAGAATCTCACTGGTAATTGATGATCATTTGTTCTCAGTAACAAAACCCTATCGAATTCTGTCTTTCAGCAACAATAGTGTTTCCTTTGTTGAACCTGAGTCTCAGTGGGTGCATCTATGCATGCATTAACACTTTTTCTGATGCACATTAAATTCAGTACCTGCAATGTGAGGTACTAAAGAAATGGGCCTAGAGCTCTCCCTGGCCACTGCAGGGGGCCAGTGCAGGGCCAGAGCGGGTGGGAGCAGACTGCTGCCAGGAGCAGCAAATCCGCTTCCAAATCCCTGCACCTATAGATGCCTGTCCAGGGTGGATTTACTCTAGAGTCAATTATTTTAGAGTAAACCCACCCTGCAGCATTTGAACATGTAGACGTGCCCAGAGAGGTGCAAAACAGAAAGATCAGAGGATCACCAGCAAATTGTGATACCTTGTTCCAGGTGAAAGAATTACTGCATGAGCAATGCTTGGTAACTAGAAATAAATGTCTACATACAAGCAAAAGAACAGATCTTTCTGTCAAATAGACCAGCTTCTTAGGGTAATCCTCCCTATGAGTCTGTACTGGATGGAATTGTGGCTTACAGCTTTCATACACCTTGGCTACCACTAGTGACCTAAGAGTACAGAATTATTTAAATCTCCTACAAGAAATGTATTGTCTCTTACTGATACTTTTAAAAAATTGATGCCCTCAATGCTAGGGTCTCCTCAGACTCCTCAGCTGGTTCAAGCAAGTCTAAATTAATGGGCAATGGAAATCTAGGCCTAGCATAGCATAGGATGCCTAGTACTTTGCGCGACTTTACTCATTTTACCTCCATTAGAATTTAATCTTTATCTCCTAAGCACCAACAACTTGCCTGACCCTTTATTGCAGAATCAGGTGTCCAATAGTGATACAATAACTTTTAGTCTAAGATTCCAACAGCAGTGAAAGAGCCTTTTGATACTGAGTAGACAGTAGTCCAAAGAATAGCTTCAGGGTAAAACAGCGTACCAGATCCAAGAGATTAGGTTTGGCACTGATGACTGTGCTGTAATTTTGGAAATCTCTTTTAAAAAAAAGCCGAGAGAGAAAGAGTACTGCTTCAAGATCAACACAGATGGCTATAAAAGGAAACGAGGATGCAGAGGATGAAATTGAGCAATCCAGATCTGAGAAAGCCATTATTTTGCCTGAAGCCCGCCCCCCCCCACAAAAAAAGTCAAGGCATCTGTACCAAAGCAATCCCATCTGTTGAGAACTAATCTGTCTAATTCCTCTGAAGAACAAGTTATTTCCCCAAATCACCAGAAAGTAAGGCAGGATTCTCTCTAGGTGGGAGAAAGGAAGACAGATCAAAGCAGAAGAAAGATTCCTTGTCAGTCATTTTCTTAAGAGAACAATCCAAATTCAATTGTTCCAGAGAACCAGAATTTGTCAATGGCTTCTCTTCCCAACCTTGAAGGAGGACAACACTGTTTTATTTACTTGTGACATTTAGACCATGCTGTATCAACATACATTTGTTTAAAAACTTTGTTCAAACATAAATTTATAAACTCACGGATGAAAACACTTTGCTGAAATGAATTGCGTTCCACATACATAATGCAAACATAAGGATACGGATCAAGAAGTTTGTCTCCGTGCTTGAATCTCAGTTTTGACACTCTCTCCCATTTACTTAAATCTGGATAATGGAGTTAAGACTCAACTTCAGTGTGGAAATTATATGAGAAGAATAGGAAGCTGGTGACTAGAGCTCAATTCAGTGTTTCAAAAGTGTACCTTTATAAAAAGTGTATATAAGATCATGTACATTATCCCATGGGCTAGGGAAAG